GCAGCGCATTTTAGCTGCTCATTTGAGCCCCCCTGCCTCGATCCAGGCAGGAGCACTCAGGCCCTCACAGAGCACCTGGGTACCGGGGGGAGTTACCACGCTCCGTGCTCCTGCCAGAAGCCGAGATGATCCCTCCCGGCCTGGCAGAGCCTCAGGTGGGGGAATTTTCACTGGACAAATAACTACGGAAAATTGCAAGGCTGGGTTTCGCAGCGGCCAGGCTGCCGTGCACAGGGAAGGGAGGCTCCGAGAGGCCAGGCGAGAGCCATCGTGCAGCCGTCCCGGGCAGAGAAACCAGAGCTGGGAGAAAGGCAAAGGCAAGGTTTGGCAGAAAAGCTGCAAAAGGATTTAAAACCAGGGAATTGTCCACAGTTGGAGCTAAAACCACCTCTTCGTAGGGCCGCGGGGGGAACGCCGCGGCGAGGCAGCGCTGAGGGGACGTCCGACCCCGGCTCCTCAGCCCCCGCAGGAGGAGCTGCTGGCACGCCAGGGCGGCCGGCCCCGCGCAGCTCGCCTTTCTATCAGCCGCAAGCGTCGCAAGATAAAAAGACAGCACAAGCGTCCTTTTAGGGCAAAAAAGGTACAGCAATATGAAAGAAAAGACTAAGCTTTGCGGCATTCAGGAGCTCGCGGTAGGAGCCGATGAAGCCGTAAGCTGCTTTCCGCATCGGTGTTAAGGATGACAGACGGAGGGAAGGAAACCCCCCAGCTCTCTGCTTTAGCCTCCCCTGGGTCTGAAGCCACAGTGCTGTAGTTTAGTGGCGCTTTGAACGCTGACCCCGTTGCGGGCCACCCGCTCTTCGTCCCCACGCTTCCTGCGGAAGCTATGAGCGTCCTTAACCAAAGAGCCCTCCCAGGTGCAGCACAAGCAAGGATCTGCATCCAGCAGCGAGCCGCAACTCTCCGCCGCGCAGGCGGTACGATGGAAACGCGCGGCTTTGAGATTCAGGCGGCTGCAGCCCCGCTGTTCCCAAGTCACGGGAGCGATTGCAGACCCGAGCCCCCATCAGCCTGGCAACCGGCCGGACTGGGGCTGAACTGGGCTTTGCCAGCTCTGTCCATCCCTGCCCGGGTCCCGGCCGCCGCGCGAGGCCGTGAGCGGCGCCCACCCAGCCGCCTTTGCCAGCTACAGGCGCACAAATACCGTGCAGCCGGGCCAGAAAACTGTCCTTCCTCCAACGGGACCAATTCCTGCAGCTTCCAGGAAAACGCCCTGGTTTTCATCATTTAAAGTTATCCCGGAGCAAAGGCGGCGAGACAGGAGAAACAGCAACTGCCGAGGCAGGTTTCCTTCCGAGCCGCGGTGCGCGATGCCAGCGGCTCACAGCACACCCTCTCCCGCGAGACAAGCCGCCTTCGACAAACCGCCTGGATTTCGGTACTTTATTCCCTTAGGCCGCAGACGCCTATCGCGGTTGCGGGCTGATGGGGTGCAGACCCTGTTCAGACACATACGTCTCACAGCCTTCTCCTTCCCGCCCCCAGGACGCTTAAGGCACGCGCAGGACGGGGTGGGGTGTAACGCGAGGGGTCACTTCTCCATCTCCGCAGGGTTACCCAATGCCTCAAAGCGCACACTCGCGGCCCCCGATGCCGCTGGGCCGCAGAGCCGCAACGCCCGCAACGCAAATCTCGGGAAGTTTGGGCTGCTGAGCTGATTTAGGGGCACTCGCAGAGGTGCGACCGCAAAGCCGGGGATCGCTGCAATGGTGCTGCTGCAGCTGAGCGCCCTCAGAAGAGCACGGCGACCCCGGCACAGCCTCCATCTGCTTTTTTTGAAGGCGGCTGGCGAGTTAAACTTCCACGTGGAGCGACCATTTATTTACGTGCCGAGACACCGTGCCCAGCAGTCGTATTGCTAAACGGATTATTTACCGCTTGGGCTTGGCGCAATGGGTCTCGCGCCACAAAGCTTGGGTCGATGAGGTTGCTGCCGCGTGGCAGGCAGCCGGCCTCCCCCGCTGGCTCACCGGCACCAGATCTCCTCCCGCCCCGCGGCCCTCCCAGGCACCGCACCAGCCTCCTCCAGGTCAGACCTTCCAGGGGGGACGGGGGAGATCTGGTAACGGCCATTTCCGATTTAGCATCTCGCCATCTTCCCCTGAAGGTATTCAGCTTTGAGGGAAGCCAGCAAAATCTGATTTATTTTTTTTTTAAATGAGAAAGAGTTCAAAGTTTATCCTTTCAGTTATCACGATTAACAGCAGGTTTTACGAAGCAGTTTTTAAAAAATAAAATCAAGTTAAAATTCCACATAAAGCACCTCCATTTCAGTATTTTTTTGACACAGATACAAGGGCACGCAAGACTAGCTCGCACGGAGCAAGCCAAGCCGTGAGAAGCCTGGATTCCTGCTAAAGCAAGAGCCAAGAGCTTTCAGGACGCGTGGCTGCCCCCGGCTGCCCGCCCGGCCTCGGGAGCACTCGTTTCACCGAGGGGCGTGTGCGTGAGGAAGATGAGCCACAGCGATCGTCACGGCGTTGCTGCGGCAAGCAGCGGCCTTACCCTGAAATCACCGGGCCGCTGTAAGGTTCGTTAGTTGGGTCTTACATGACACTAAAAATTAGCAGCAAAGCAGTTCTAGGACCGGCACCGCTGCGCCGTGGAACCCCGCGTTCTGCTTTAGGTGGGCAAGTTGTAGGGTACAACGCCAGCGGAGGAAGCTCCTCTTCCTTCAAGAATTAATTTTGTTTCCTGCCTTTCCTGGCAGAAGGCGCTTCTGCTACTGGAGAAGCGGCCGAGGTCAAAGCCACGGCAGCAGGAGCAGTTTCAGAACGGCCTCCCAGGACCGTCAGCGCGATTCCTCACAGCCGGGCTCTTTTCTGGCCACATCTGATGATAATAATACGCAGCCTCGGAGGGAGCGGCCACAGTAAGTCGCTGCTGTTGAGAAACCTGGTAACAGCTTTGCCGCCCCGTACTTCTGGGATCACCCGAGCGCCTGTTTCCGAATTACCCTCCGTTCCCAGAAGTTCTCCTGACTTGAAACACCAACTCCTCTAGAACTAAAGCAGCAGCTAAATTCAAATTACTATGAAATAAAGCAATCTAGGTTAAGTAAACGAGGTGAACACGATATCTACGTACAATAAGCAATTTCCCCTTAGACTGTCAAGAGGCTTCCCACGGCGGAACACAGGAGTTCAGCGCAGCGGGAAGCTCTAGCTGTAATGAACTATTTCCCATTTTACATCACCGCGACGCGTTACGCTACCAAAACACAGAATCAAAGCTGCAGCTGAGAAAAAAAAGAATTAACACCCCCCCACCCCCCACCAGCAGGCTGCCCTTTAGCAGAAACAAGGTTTGAGTCCAGCCCAGATGATTCGACTGCAGCGGTATTAGCTTCATTTGACTGTATTTAAATAAAATAAAGCATTTAAAAAATAACAGGCACTAAAATACCCTCACTGCTTACACCACGCACCAGCCGAGCCCCGTGTACGTGGCGCGCGACAGCCTCTCCCCACCCCTCCCGGGGCAGGCTGTCGGGCAGTTTGTGGGTGTCGGAACAGGAGAAGCCATTCCCACGAAGCAGCCTAACAAGAATATTCAGAAGAGTCAGCTCCCAGCCAGCATCCGAGGTGCTCGGTTCAAGCCTGCGGCCGCAAGTTCCGCGGTGTTCCCAGTAAGACGAGGAGAGAGCCGGTACCCGAGAGCCCCAGGCAAGGAGCGGGCACCTCTCCCTCCCCCTGCAGCCTCCCCCGACGACGGGCAGTCTTTGCTTGCTCAGTTCAGCCCTTAGAGCTTCTTCAGGCGACTGTACAGTTCCCTTTTGCTCTTCTCACCCGCCCAGGTTCGGCTTTTGGTGCGGAACCTTTTCAAGTCTTCTTTAAAGTCCTCGTGGTGCATGGGGCGATAGCTCTGGGGCTCGCAGAAACTCTGGGGAAAGAGAGGCTGGTTTCATTTCAGCGTGTCGCAGGAGCGGTGATCTCCGAGACTCACCGACAGCAACCCTTTGAACAACTACCACCGGAACGAACAGAACTAGGACCCCCACCCTGAGCAGGAGCGTCATACCAGGGGGTGGTCAACAAAGCCAGGCGGCGGTCAGAGAACAGCTCCTTCAGAAGCGATAGCTGTTAAATGAGGGACTTTCAGTCCTGTATACAGAGCGCTCACCCCAAATTTTCCACCAGACACCAATACACAAAGTCAGTCCATCTGGTATTCACCCTGCAATAGCACAGATTTGAGGAATACCTCTCTCTCGGGCTGGCCAGCCCTGGCTCACGGCCCAGGCCGCTGAAGGCTGCCGTCGGCTGTTCCGTGCTGCCACCTCGAGGCCCTCGGTCCTCCCACCTCGGGAGAGGACACCCAGGCACCCACACCACAGGGGAGCCAGCAGATCGCAGGGAGAGCCAAAAAAAAAACCAGGACAGCACTCACTGCCATCAACACCGGCAGCCCCCAAGGCGGCCCAGGTGCTGGGAGACCCAGCATCCCCCTGGGACACGGCGCCCGGCCCCAGCCGGCCACAGACAGGCCAAAGAGCTCCCGTCTCTCTGACAACGCACCAAGTCACAGAACAGGAAGGTAATCCAAGAGATACTCTGAAATGCGGGGCCTGAGAGGGACTAAAGCGACAGCCAGGCCACCGCTGGTTTGTGTCAGAACAGCAGGAGGAACTAGCGGGAGAGAGAGTACGGCCGCCGAAACGCTGAAGCAGCAGAAGCCAAGCAATAGGAGAAACAGCATCCTCACAATGCTGGTGAGAGAGGTGCTGGGCATTTTTTAGTTTCCTTTTCTGAATTAAAGGCTGAAAACTCAAAACTCAAGCTTTTCAATGTTGCTATTTGAGTACAGTACGAGACTCCAGGTTTCCATTTGTTCTACGGCAATTCCTGTCAAGCCTCTCTCCTCTCCTAGGCCCAGGCTGAGAAGTCTTAAAGTCCTTCTCCGAATGCCATTTTGAACTCCTAGTTGTTATAAAAAGGCAGAAACCAGTTTTACATTTTCCTCTTGAGACAAGTGGAAAAACCTTTCAGCTATGGCAGCACGACAGCTCTGAAGTACGGAACCGGCTTAGAGAGCCTCGCTACCCAGTTTTAACCGCTCTCCATCCAGGAGACCACTGTGAAACGGAGCAGGAAAACCCACCCTGCTCCAAAGAGAAGTCTGATCGAGTATGAATGCATGGGTATTTCTTTCTCATTTCTTCTCTTCCGAGTGCGAAAGAGATGAATTTAAGAGAACGTTACTTACGCGGCATCTTAAGAAGAAGTCCTTGTAGCCCCCCTTCAGGACATAGAGCTCTGGGTAATGGAGGTTGGGGTATTCGTTACCCAGCCTGTCCCGCTCTCGCACAAACCGGCACCTGTAGCAGGAAAAAATCCTGCATTAAAGCTTGCACTTGACAAATAACGCACAAAAACAGCGCTCACCCCAAACTTCCCGTTCCTTGGACTACAGAAGCAGGCCGCTGCCCTATCGGGAGCGGGCTGACGAGCCACACCGGCTGCAAAGCCGCGGCTAACTTGTTTTTCCACTTTCCGCTGTTAAGCTT